TAGGAGAACATTGTGGGGCTGGGAGCATTTGGGTCTTTCTCCTCTCTCTTTGGGGGCGCTTATGAGGCAGCATCCATGAGCTCTGCTGGGATCCCCCCCCCCTCGATGCTGCTGGTGGGGGCTCTGGCCCAGATCCCTGGAAGCGAAGGGGGGAAAGGAGACCCCCAGTAAGGAGGGGGCTCACCTGGGCAGGAGCTGAGCTGGGAGGGGCCCTCAGTGCTCCTGGGGCAAACTGGACTTTTTGGGGTATTTTTTTTCCCTTGAAAACATTTCACTTCTGATCTAAGAAGCTTCTCCAGTTCTGACTGACTGGGGGGGGGGAGAAAGGATTTGTGTTGTGTCACAAAGGACAAACCCATCAGGAGGAGACGTCCGTCTGCATTTGGAGAGAGACATGCCAGGCTCTTTGGAGGGCAGCCAAGTGCACCTTCTGCACAGAAAGGAGCCCTGGGTGGAAAGAGGGGCCACAGCGGCCATCTTGGCCAAATGGAGCAGCCCTCCCACAACAGAGGGGGAGGGGTGGAAAGTCCCCCCCTACCTCCAGTCTACAACAGGGTCCTTTCAGCAGCCTCAGGAAGTCTCCAACCCCCCCTTTTTTTGCACCAAACAACCTGAAGGAATATCAATCCTTCCATCCTCCACCGCTCAGTCAGAACTGGAGAAGCTTCTGGGAGGAGAAGGGAAATGTTTTCAAGGGGAAAAAAAAAAACCCCAAGAGATGCCCTTTTGGAAAAAACATCTTAGGGACAAGCAGGACCATGGAGGATGGAGGCTCTCCATGGAGACCCCTGGCTCCACTTTCCCCCTTTTGAAATCAGGCAGACGCAGGCTGGACTTGTGGGGGGCCTTAAAAGAGCATCTAGTCCACCCCTCTGGGCACAAAGAGAAAGGGAGATTCGGGTTAAGAGTCAGTGGGTGGGGGGAGCACAAAAGGAAGTCCACTCTGCCCTCCGATCCTGGCATGAAGCAGCCCCCTGATCACCCCACCCCCACCCGAAGATGCAACCCTCCCCTCCCTGAGGCTCAAAATCTTCCCCTCCCTCACCTCCTCTGCTTCTATTTTAGGGTGTCTTGAGTTGTCCTTCCAAACTCTCCCTGTAGTGAAGGATGCTGGGCCCCTCCCTTTGATGCTCTTGGGAGGCTACGGGGGGGGGGGGGCCCCTTGGGAGGGGGGGGGGGGGGGAAAGGGGCCTTGAAAATTGTTCAAATTAAGTTTGTGGAGTTGAAGATTGGGGGTGGGGAGGGGAAAAGAAACGTTTGGGGTATCCAGGGCAGTCGGGGTCGAAGGGCCGGGAGAACCCAGTCGTATGGGTGTAGGTGTCCTTATTTTCACCCCCTCCCCAGATTCTCCCCCCCGCCAAAGAAAGTGGGATAGAGAAGCATAGATGTTACTTTCCTTGCAGCCCAGAGAGTTCCTGGGGGTCCATCAGGAAGGCCTTCCCCTTCCCCTCATTTTCCTCCCCCCTCCAGGCCCCTGAACAAGGGTGGATCTTGGTGGGACAGTTCCCCATTCCACCTCTAGGTGGCATCTTCCGGTAGCCTCTTGCAACAGGGTTCCTGCTCCGCCTCTAAGAAGCATGGCTTCCTCCTCTAATAATTGCTGGGAACCATGGGGCCTGGATTCCTGAGCTTCCTCCTCCTTTTCCTCCCCGCAGCCCGTTTCCTCATCCGGGGGAGGCCCAAGAGCCACTTACTCAGCCCACTTTGGCTGCCCAGCATGGCATAATCTGACCACCATCTTGTCCGCTTTGACCCGCTCGGCCCATCTCCTGAAAAAGGCCCCCTTGGTTATTTTGAACAATGCTTTTATTAAGGATTAAATGCATAGAAAGAAAGTGAATATATGAAAAAGACAATGAAAATAAGGGTGGGGGAATCCTCCAAAAAGGTAATAAGAAAAAGAAACTTTTCCCTCCTCATCCTCAGCCAGCAGATTCAACATCAAAACTTTTATCACTAAATAAACAACCACATTCATTCCACTCTTCACCCCATTTTCTCCTCTCTAACTTTTCAGTTCTCCTCATGGATCAACAAAATCTAGTAAACATTAAGATAAATACCTGGTTCCTTGACTTAGGACTGAAGGAACTTATCAAAGAAATCCATTCCAACCTGTAGTCCCAAGTCCAGGACTTCCTGCACTCTGCAAAACATTGTATGTACTCCAGACATACTTATAACTCTTTTTTTGTAATCAAGTTACTAATGCGACTTTGCAAGTAAGATATTCTCACAATTCCAACATTTACACCCTTTTGCCTCATTGTGTACTCCCTGGTGTTATTTGAGGTTTCTTCAGTAGGAAAAACATTTTACTCAAACCAAACAATTGTACGATTTCCTTCTGTCACTGTGCAAAATTCCTGGTAAACATTAAAATGTGAATGTTGGACAAAAAAAAGGCTTTCCAACATTGTTCACAGCTGAAGAGATTTATGTCTGCTATGGACTTTCTGGTGCTTTTCTAGCTTTCATTTACTAGGAAAATGTTTCTCACTTAGTGCACTTGTAAGCCTACTCTCCTGCGTGATTTCGCGTGTGCATGCGAAGGGTTGAAGGATGGGCAAAACATTTCCCACACTCCTGGCATTTATATGGTTTTTCTCCAGTGTGGATTCGCTGATGCTTCACAAGAGTATCTTTCCGAGCAAAACACTGACTGCACTTTGAACATTTGTGAGGTTTCTCTCCTGTATGGATTCGGCTGTGACTTCTTAAGGAACCTGAATGAGCAAATGTTCTGCCACAGTCCAAACATTTGTAGTTTTTTTCCCCTGTGTGAATTTTCACATGACTTCTAAGGGCTGATGAGCTACTATAAAATCTTCCACAGTCGATGCATTGATGTGGCTTCTCCCCTGTGTGGGTTTTATGATGGCTCCGAA